TACCTTGACATAATTTTCCCCCAGAGAAAGGAACTGCAAATGTCAGTTTTCAGCCCTGCTATGACTCACAAAGATATATAAAAGGGAGTTCCATGCTAACTAATTCTACATCATCTGCATTGTTCTATTCTTTTAGAAGTGTGAGGAAGGCAATTTTGTTTACCCATCTCTGTGCTCGGAGATTCTCAGCCCCGTTTCCCTTTGTGGCCTGAACTACAGCACTTCCTAAGGAGGGTTAAAGCCATCCCTGAGTCCCAGGTGCTCCCTGAACCCCGCTCCTGCCACTCACTCTGGGGTGCCCAAGCAGCTCCACACTGATCCTGCTCACCCTGCACAGCTTCTGGGCAGCTCCTGAGACCTTGGAGGTTGTAGCCCTGCCCTGGGAATGGAGAGGTGTGCTGCAGACCCTGCCCTTTACACCCCAAGGACTAGGAGCCTCAAATGTGGACACCACATTTTTCAGAGACTCTCTCATTTAATGAAAAAGTGCTATGTACCCCACACATCACAGGATTTCCATGCAAACCACAGGACAAAACCATAGTTTTCAATCCAAAACAGAAGTAAATCTTATTTCGGTTGTAATTTCTTGCTAACTGTTTACATTACAGAGCCACTGTAATATGTCTTCAAATTTTATATCACATGAACTGTTAGATATTATTAAAAAAAAATATTAAATAGCCAAGTGCTGATGATCACTTCAGAATGCTTTAGCATGTGCCAAATACTGCTCTTTCTCTCATAAGAGAAACCACCTCTGCTGTCCACAAAGTTTAGATGTTCACATGGATTACAGGGAGAAGGAAGAGGGTATCATTTCCAGGTATCCTCTATATAATGACAAATAATTTTGTGATATTAAGTGAACAACCAAGCCACACATTAATAATGTGCTGAAGTGCCAGAAACTGTCAGTGTGCAAACAGTACAGTAGAACTGAGCAATGACAGCTTTGTGAATTCCTGAGATACTTCCTAATGATTGTGAGAATGAATATTTTAAAAGCGCTCACTGAATCATCACCTCTGATTACATGAGATGAATCACAAGACACATCTAAACAGACTGCATTACGATTTACAACTCGGGCAGACTTTTTGTGATTGAAATTTTCAACACATTGAAAAGAAAACCTTTAGAACAAAGCAGTTCTACAAAATCCCCAAATGCAGGGAGTCTCTTTTGCTGCTGTGCCAAGTAGCTTGTTTTTCCTTCAGTACCAAAACCAGGAGCAGCACAGAGAGCAGAGACAGGGAAGGCAGGGTTTTTATCTAGTTCTGACTGCATGCTCATATGGCCTTCTTCTGGTTAACAATGGCAGCAGGCAGAAACAGAACCTACAACAGACTGAAGCACTTGCACAAGTGTAACTTGTACAAACACAACTTAGAAACCCCTTGATATCTATGAATTATTATTATTATTAGACATTTCTTACTCATCCTTTGCTATTGCTTTATAGCTCTGCATCTCTCCTAGAAATCTAAACCAGAAATGAAGTCCTTAAAATGAAACAGCTACTGAGATCAGGAAACAGCTCCAGAGCCAGGGTCAGATCCTGAGCTGGAATAAAAAAACTAACATCTCTTATGAGATCTTAGATCTTGCTGAGATGCTATTGTAGAATTCTCCCCTCATCCTTCCCTGCTGCGAAAATGCACAGTGCCTTCCTTGTGGCCAGACTGGCAACTCACACCTCCTCCTCTGCAGCCAGACACCAGACCCTCATTAGTATTCTCAAAACCAGCTCTTTTGGTTTGATCCAGGCTCCTGGCAGCAGAAATAGAGCTGGACTGACCAATGGGGCAAGCTGGCAGCAGAGGGTGTGAGCCTCAGGTCTCCCAGAAAGGGTAAGGTGAATACAGGTTGAAATGGGACGCACCAACGTTCTGACACTCACTCGACAGGAACCCTTAGCCATGTTCTTTCCTTTTCTGTTCTGGACTTGGCATGAAGACATGTAAATGTTGGCTATGACCATGAAGTAAGTGTAATAACCACCGGGCTGAACACTCAATTGCTGTGCCTTAGCAATTGGCTGTGAGTTACCCTCCAGCCTGAAGAGTCTACTATAGTTTATTTTAATCAATTTCTTCCTATTACTATTACTTACACCTCCTCAAATCCTGTAATTTCTTCTATCAATTTAATGATGATGTTTTTAACAGACACTGCACTGGTGTGCCATATAACAGACCTCCAGAACACAGGTATGGATGTTTGCCAAGCTTCATCGCTTCTGCCTACATGCTGAACTGCTGCTGCTCAGGCACACTTTCCTCTGAAGCCTCACAGGAGCTTCTCCCATGTAAGACATTCTTAAACAAGCCATTTGTGAATTAAAATGGCCAGCAGTAAACCTTTTCAGTTCCCACTCATTATAATTGCTTCTTGCTACTAGCCCAGTTGAAATCAATACGATAATAACTAATTTAATTTGTATTGAAGTAGAAGCTGCCTTTCATTCACCTGCAATGAAAATATGGGGGGAGGGCAGACACAGGGGAAAGAGGTCTTTGAATAGATCACATTTCTTTCCATGAAGATATTCCAGATCTGTGCTGACCACCATCTCCACGGTCATGTAATGAAAGCCACCGTGTACTGCAGGCTCATTTGGCAGTCATTACTGCAGCCTTTGCACAGAGAAAATGCTGTCCTAAAGTTAACAAGTTACAAAACTGCCCCAAACCCATACTCTGAAGTAGGAGACAACGCCTCTCAAGGTCCCTCAAGGACATGCTGTGAAAGGGAGCTCCAGACAGGAAAGTTCCCTTCCAGGTAACAAAGGTCCCTCAAGTTCTCATGAGCACAATGGTCCTGACATACATTTTCATAAGAAAACACCACTTTCATTAGTGTCATAAAGGCCTTGCCAAACTTAAGCTGTATAATCAAACAATTTGCATTCAAAGAACTGAAATGCTGATGATAATCTCAGCAGAACATCAACACAGCAACCCCTGAGGTTGCTGCAGCCACTGGAAACGTAATTAGCAGTCTCCAAACACCATACAGTCTGTGCAGCAGCTCCTTTACCACTTTGCTCAGTATGGAAAATGTTCCAGTTCTGGGAGGAGAAAAATTAACCACCTTCTCTGAAAGATCACTTTCAGCTTGTTCTCAAGAAACCCATACCAGAGCCCCCAGAATTAATCGCTTTGAGGCATGCACATCAATAACTGGTAATATTTCTACTGCAAATAATATGTAATAGATAATCTACTTTTCTTAGGTTGGCACCAGGAGCCCTTTGTCTTTCAGATTGAAATAACAGAGTTATTTAAAGCACACATTTTGGGGACAACCACAAACAGCTGCTGGGGAAACAGCAAGGTAAGAAAATGGATTGCCATCATGAGGCTAATAAGCCACATCCACATTTATTTCCTTTCCTTTCTACCCCCAAAGGAAAACTGTGTTCCCATGTAGAGTTATGAACATGTGCTTTTAATAAAGTTAAGTCTCTCAGAACTGCTGGGAAGCATCATTAGGTTTAAGGCATTCTGAGGCGTCAGAGAGAAGGTGCTGAGGAGGTTTGACTGAGGGCAGGCTGTGAATCTGAACTGTGCTGTGACCCTGCACAGCAAAGAAATTACAGCTTAACTTGCTTATGGCGTACTTAAACTCACACCAACTGCACGAGAATGTTATGGAACAGAGCCAGAATTGAAATTTTCAGTGGAGCAGGGCACTTAAGTGAGTAAAAAGTGGGTTTTGGTCTTTGAAAAAGCCCACATTTCATTACCATTTTTTCCATTTATCTCTATTCTTATTCACTACTGAGCACCCCAAATTAATCCTTAATTAAAACTTGTAGTATTACTGAGGAATAGAATCAGCTCAGTAAAAATCTTGGAGCTGCACAGAAATGCCCAATCACCTGTTGTGTTAATATCTGTCTGTATTTCTGTACATGACACTACAAATATTACATATTATTTATATTATTTCTCCAGTGCCTTCGTAGTTTTCAGTAACAAAGAGCAGGAGTTATGTAGCCTATGCCCTCACCAGCTGTCTCAATCTGCTTAAGCCATTCTGACACATCTGTCTAATGTGTCTAATATTTCCAACACAATGGACAGCTTTTCCAGGCACCTATCTTCATGACTTCTGCTACAAATAATTAATAGTAAATCACTTTTTTTTTCCCCCCAGTGAAGTTCAAGATTACTTCTACTTACCAGTTAATCATGAACAAAGAAAACAGACTAAATTATATGAAATTATGCCACAGATTATTTATCCCAGACCTTCTCTGGCACATATCTCTTTGTAGTAACTTTCTGGCCTGTAATGTCAACACTAAGCTCTTTTTTTCTTTACACTGTTGATTTTAACATGACAATGGACAGCATCAGATTCAAAAATTCTCCTAAGCACTAAGTGAAAAAAATATCTTTTTGCTCTGTGTAAGGACAGATGTTTTAAAGTAAAAGAGCCTTAGACTAAAGCTGAAAGTAATTAGTAAATGAAAGTGTGTATGTAAGAGGCAGAAACATGTCTGAAGCAGTTTCTAAGACATTCCTTCAGAGGAGCTGTGCTCTCACAGCATGCTATCCCTTCAGGGATCATGTGCCCCTACGTCACTGCCACCCCCCAGCACAGACAGACCACGAGTGTCCCTCCCTGGGGTGAGCCTGTCCCCAGGGAACGCAGCACTGGGCATGCTGCACACAGAACTGCACATGGCAGCACACAAACACATCTTCCACTGACACTGTGCCATCCTTGCTGCTCTTCTCAGCATTAACTAAAATTGTACTTTAGACTGTTTGGAATCCATTTAGAACTATTCAACGTTTCTCACAAATGTAAGGACTCTGCACAAAACCCAAGTCATGAATCTGTCCCAGACTGCCCTTTTTGAAACTCAGGCAATACTACTCTGGCATCTCTTAAGATCGCTGAGGAAAGTAATTACTGCCTCCACACATGCATTTCAAATACAAAAAAAGTTGCTGACTGCATATGAAATTCCCTCTTATTCTTACCTTGTTGAAGACAGATCTGAAAGCAGCTCGCTCTTTCTGTCACAGACATCTTTTTCCCATCTTCTTCAATAGGACAGTGTCAACAACTCTCTGTTAGGACAGAAAAAGAGCAAATATACAGCCTGGACAAAAACCTCAGAAAGCTATCAGTAGGCTAGAGTTTAAAGGGCAGGAAGAGCAGAAGTGCCACTAAAAATCACCAGTGGGGCTGGCACAGTCCTCAGGAGGGAAAAGGGAACAATATGAGGACTCTGCCAAAAAGGCTTCACTGTGGCAGGATGGAAGGGGACAGTGCAGAAGAAATCCAAAGCTTAAAAGACACAGTATTTTTTAGTCAGTGTACATATTCTCCTCTCAGTTTCTCAGTAATTTAAACCAAGTTCCACCAGCAATTATCTGTGAAACCTGAGAGTCAAGTGTCCTCTGTAGTCCTGGAATTGCTGCAGGTAAAGACTAATCCCCAACACCACCATCTCAGCATGCAGAGAACACAGGCCTGCAAGACTTTGCTCTTTGGGCACTGCTGGGACCCCAGGGTATGAAAAAGTCAGCCCTGGTGTGCTGGGGCTTTTTCAGCTTTTTCTTGAAAAGTTGTAGGAAACCCAAAGAATATTTTAATAAAAGTTATTACTGTTACAACACTGAATGCTAGATCAGTAGGAACTGTTAAAATCAAGGCTGCCTGTAGAATTTGCATCTCATCTATCCAATGTGAGACTGCACATTTATTGAGGGTTGGGTATCTCAGTCTCTGTCCCAGGTTCTGTCCCACACAGCCACCAGCAGCACTGATCTCCTGAGCAACGGAGGAGGCACCTGCCCGCTGCAGAAATAATGTGCTGCCATGGGGCTGAGTGAGGCATCAGACTGCAAATGGAGAAGGGCAGAAATCGTTACCCTAATTGTGCAAGTTTCTAGCTTCTGAGTATTTGGAGAGACAGGAAAGGTATCTGCAAGTAATCTGCAAGTCAGCAAAGCCCTAGATGTTCTGAGAACCTCTTCTATGGCTGGCAGTTCTGGGATCAGTCACCAAGCAGCTGCCACAGAGGGTTGATTTCTTTCTTCAGTGTTTACCTCAGTAGGGTGTTGCTTTAGTTATGTATTTCACACCAACATGTTTTACATTCGCTTCTGTCAAGATTCCAATAAACTGATTTAAAGGATTCTCAGTGGTATCTTCATGCTAAGCTTCTCTCTTTTAATTCTTAGAATATTCATTAGCAGCTGCATACACTGGTAAAACTGAAAACAAGTTTGGAACTACTAGACAGAAGCAGCAACTGTTTGGAATTATTTGCTTGGGCTTTACTGATCAGTTTTTATCCACTGCAATCAAATGTCCACTCACTGTGATCCATGTCCACTGTACAATATGAAGTGTTTTTATTGCAATTCACTGTATTGCTCCTATGCTCAAATCTTATGGGAGGCTCAGCAGGATGATTTGGAAGAAGAGTATTCTGCAGTCAAAACATAGTGCTCTAAATACTAGTGATCCTTTAAAGCATACATGACCAATTCTGCAAATCCCTTAATCCCCTCCCCTGTACTAGGTTAGTACATGCTGTGTGACACTGTCCTGTTGTTTGCAAAAATGACTATGGATGAATGTGAACACTAACTCTATCCATTATAACTTCTGGGTTAGAAAGATTTATACACAAGCAACACCAGTGAGAAATTCTATTATTCCACTAAGTTGAAATGGAAATAAATCATAAGCCTCAACACAAGGAAGCAGACGTAATTCAGACCACTAGCCATGATATGGGAACAAGATCTTGGAGTAAGATTCTGTTATTCCACAAAATATCTGTTCTACCTGATTCCCAGAACAATGCTATACAATGTATTTATGATCTATTTTAAGAGATTTGGATCAAGCCAGTAAGCCTCTGTTGTGTCTTGGTGTGTTTAACATCACCAAAAATAAAGGCTTTAAAAATCAGACTTCAGCGCATAGTATGTTTTCAAAACAACATTTTTTAAATTTTTTTTTTTTTTGGGGGGTGGGGGGTCAGTCAATAGGTGTTCTTTTGCATTTTTGGGTTTTTTTTAAAGAAATGAAAGCCTAAATCTAAACCATTTCAAGAAACACTTGCCCAACAGTTGCACCTCCATAGGTGGCCATTACTTTTCTGATCAGCATAAACCAGAGGCTACTGAGAAACTGATACTCAGGTGCTTTACAGAATACACAAGCACTTGAAACACAAAGAAAAGAAAGCAGAACTACATACAACTCAAGTCTTGCAAGTCCGAGAGCAATTTCCAAGCGTGGAGAAGTTGCCCTAAGAAAATCAGGAACTGCCTTTTGAAGAGAAAGCAGAAAAGCAGCTCTGTGGAAAAGGAGAGCAAAAGGAGTTTTACTGGGAAGGAGCAGAAAAGGAGGTAGGAGAAGGAAGAGTGGCAAGCATGCAGTGGATCCCCTGGAGATACCTGAGGCTTGTTTAGGGAGTGCTGGGCGACAAGGCTCACCTGCAAACCAGGGCCATTTCATTCTGGGCTGCTGCAGCCTCTGCCTCTGGCCTGGGGCAGCTCCTGCCTTCCCCTGCTGAGTGGCTTTCTATTCCCACGCTCTTATTCGTGCACTAAATGCAGCTTCCAGAATGCTTGGAGTGGTATTTTAGAGCAACAGACACCGGTATTTAAGTCCACTGATGTAACATCAATTTTATGTTTGCTCTGCTGTCATTTTCCTAAGGTATTCCTATTTCCTAAGTTATTAATATTTTTATACCAGACCTCGGGATGTCTCTGGGTCTTGCTACATCAGGCTGCAGACCACCATAGTGGAAATTTAGTCTTTCCAGATACTATGAAGTAGCACATAAATACTCAACATACATTGAAATCTGGTGTTTAAAAGAAAGAAAAACAAGAACACACAGAAAAACTCCACAACAAAACACAAAAAAATCCTCCAAAAATCCAACACCACCCCAAACCTAATAATAACTGGAGTTAAAAATAAAAAGTGAAAAACGAAACAGTGGCGAAAACATTTCAAAGGAAATTAATTCACACATAGGAAGTTTTGTCACCTATTTTAAGAATTAAAAAGACACAAGTTTCTCTGCTTACAAACGACAACATGAAAAACAAAATATTGTTTATATCTCACAGAAAAGGTATTTCTGATCTTATTAGATAAAAGAAATATCCTTTTGGAGATCATAATTTATTTACAAGTACAGCAGAGTGGAAACAGTAAAGATGCATACATGCAAAAATAGGGTTTTTTTCCCAGAACAGGCAGGAAACACCCCCACTAGAGAGCCTGCTTTGTGTCTTCTTCTTGCAGCTAGAAATGTAAGAATTTATCTGTAATGCATATAGAAGAAAAACTTAGCAAACAGAAATCCCAATACAGCAATATGATGCTTAAAAAAAGGAATGTAATCTATGAATCTTTCACACATCAAACATGGGAAATAAATTGTTATTGATTTGCCTCTACTTTAAGCCTCGTTAGGATTTTTGACAATGTTGTGACGCTTCTGTTGAAGAACTGCCAGTGTCCCAGTGCCCACTGCAGTGGCCTGAGGAGGGCCCAGAACAAGGTTTCCACGGTACTCATGGAAGAAGGCTTCATTCACCTGCAGCCACTTTCACATCCTGATCCACAGCCCTTTCATCATCGCTGGGAACCCCAAACCCAGCTGGGAAACACCAAGCAAGAGGAAAAGGAGAATTCCCATTCCCCAAACAGCAGTGAAGGGGCTGTGGATGGCTCGGTGCTCCCGAGCTCACTGTTCTACATCAAATAACAGCAGCAGGCTTCAAGCAGCCTCTTAAATTATCTCCCACTCAGTTAAGAGCCCGGGAATTTTGGTGATGTTTTAAAGACCACTGCAGGTTCCTCGTTTCTCTCTTCAGTGCCCCAGTTCTACAGATACAGAGTGTGTTGAGACTATTTAAGCATTTAGCACTATCTTAGGGCTTTCAAGAAAGAAATACTAATTAAAATACAGCTAGCAAAGCTATTTCAGGTTTGGCTTTTAGGCAGGTCCACTTCTCAAAGTATGATAAATCTGGCCTAAAAGCATGTTGGACACACAAAGCTTTGATTGCTCACGCTTTAATCAGAGAATGGACTTCTTATGAAGATACTGCTAAGTGCATCTGACATTTTAATTTCCAATTTTTCCTCCCTTCATTACCTTTAGACTGTTTTTTTTATTTGAAAAGCCCTTGCATAGCTTAAAAGAGTAAGAACAAATATGTAAAATTTCAAGACAACTGGTCAAGGGTCCTCAAAATGTTAATTAACAATTCTTTCCATTTTGAAATGTTTAGTCTGAAATGGACTTGTCTATCTTTACTGCAGAAAAGCTTTGATTCAGCGGTGGGCTTGAACTGGGGCAAACAGGAGGAACTTCACCACAACAAGAAACCGCAGAGGGACCCAAATCAAGCATGTGAACACATGTGCATGACACCCTAATTTCAGCTGATTACCTGCCATGAAAGGCTTCTGCACGGGAAGCAACGTGAGAAGGGATTTTTTAACTCTGCTTTACGTGCCCTTTTCCATGCGTACCAGGATAGGCACAAAATATGGATGGGCTGGGAAAACTTCTACTGTTTATTTTCTTTCCTTGTCCAAAACACCATGAAAAATACAAAGTTTCCCCTCTTCTTGTATGTATAGTTATGGGACACCAATTTAATAGACTGTTAGCACACAAAGCTGGGAACTGTTGGAAATATTAAAGCAGCACTACCATTGTGGACCTCTGCATGTTATTCACACAGAAGGGTGAAAATAGGATAATTAAGAATAGAATGAAACACCACATAAAAATGTATAGCTCAATAAAAAGTGCGTGGGATTGCTTTCACGGATTAGCACTTACTAAAAGCAAAAAAACAAGTGGAACCTAAAACTGGATGCATGTATACAGAAGAAAACTTTTCCAGTGCAAGCATTTTTTAAACATACGTATTTTCAACTGGATTTAATATCTAGACATAAGAAATAACAATGTTCTGTTTTTTAAATTTATATCTAAATTTAAATGCATCTTGCTGCTTAGTGATAGGAAACAGGACAATACTCCTGCCTGTCTACCATAGAAACCAACTTC